GTGTGTGTGTGTGTGTGTGTGTGTGTGTGTGTGTGTGTGCTTGAGTTGTGTGGGTGTTATGTACACATGTGTGCAAATGCGTGTGGGTGCACACACACGTAGAGGCCAAGTTCGATGGGTTTCTTCCCCTGATCATTTCCCACTTTTATGTGTGTATTTTTGGAGACAGCGTCCGCCAGTGAACCTGAAGCTCCTCAGTCTGGCTAAGCTGACTGGTCAGTTAACTTCGGAGATCTCCCTGTCTCTGCCCTCCAACCTCCAGTGCTGGTGTCTCAGAAGCACGGCGACGCCCTGGCAGCTTACATGGGTGCTGGGTGGGGAGCCAAGCTGAGGTCTCACTCTTTCATGAAAGGCACTGTACCCGTAGCCTTCTCCCCAGGCCTAGACTTTACCTTTTAAAACAAAACCAAGATGTTGGAACTTATATAAAAAATAAATAGAACAAACCTGGGTCAGATACACCTGGTTGTAAGTTCTAACTCTACAATTTAGTAAGCTGTGTGATGGTGGGTTACTCTCTTGGGCTCTCTGAGCCTCCTCATCTGTCAAATGGGGCTCTCAGGGGGATTTCCCTGTTAGGGTTGTGGTAAAGACAAGTTTAACCAATCCCCAAGCTGTACCATAAAGAGATGAGCATTTCAGGGCTGTGGAGATGCTCAGTCAGTAAAGTACTTGCCTTGCAAACAAGAGGCCCTGAGATGGCTCCCCAGAACCCATGTATAGATGGATATCAAGAAAATTCAGAAGCTGGAGAAAGAGTTCAGTAGCCAAAAGCACTGGCTGTTCTTGCAGAGAACCTGAGTTCAGATCCCAGCACTCACATGGTGGTTCACAACCATCCTTAATTCCACTCTCAAGGAATCAAATGCCCTCTTTTGACCTCCATGGGCACCAGACACAGACACACACAGACACACAGACACACAGACACAGACACACACACACACACACACACGTAAACATAACCTTTTTTTAAATCTAAAAATTAAAAAAAAAAAAAAAGAAAACTCAATCATGATGGGGTACTGGAGGGACAGAGATGGCAGATCTCTGGGACTCACTGGCTGGCCAGCCTGGCTAATTGATGAGTTTCAAGCTAGTGAGGGAAACTGTCTTAAACAAATAAACAAACAACAACAAAAGAAACCAAAAGTTGAAGCCCAATGTGGTGATACATGGGAGGCAGAGACAGGGAGATCTCTCTCTGGTCTAAAACCAACCAAACAAAAAACTCAACCAATCAAACAAAACAACTGGATAGTTCTTGAGGAATGATGCCTGAGCTGAGGTTGACCTCCTGACCTCTGGCCTCCAAACACTTATGCACATGTGTCCACACCACTGCATGTGCATGCATACACACAAAAAATAAACATCTCATCATTAAAGCATGGTAGTTAAGGGTGGCGTGCTGGGACCACGCTGCCCTGATAGAAAAGGCATTTAGTCTTTTCCTGGATGTCAGCTTCATACCCTCAGGTGACACATCACAAATCCCAGGGACAGGTCCACACAAGCAGGTGCAATGGCAATGCATCCACAGGCTCCAGCCTGTCACTAACTGATATGGGGACCCTCGACTAGAGTAAGTGTGTAGGAGGCTGGCTCCCTGTCTTCATCTGCTTTCCATTGATACAACAAAATACCTGACACCGGAAGTTTACTCTGCTCAGGTTCTGGGGACTGGGAAGCCCGAGAGCATGGTGGCAGCATCGAGTGAGGGCCTTGTGCTGAAGGCCAATATGTGTGAAGCCACGGAGGGAGGACATTGGGCCTGATATCCAGGATGGGCACTGCCACTGACGAGGTGAGCATTAGGCAGATGAGGTCACCCATGCATGGGTTCCAGTGGTGCTGTCAAGTCCTGGTGCTGTCACTTTTGAGGGTACCAGTCCTGGCGGTCTCCCTCTTACAGCACCATGGGGCTAGCAAATCCCCAGTCCTTCTTTAGCACTGTGACCCTGGCTGCCTTCCTGCCCGAGTCATGGTCCCAGGCACCGATGCCTTCTCTGCTGTGGGATAGTCTCTCTCAGGAGGAATCCAGGAGGGAGGCAGTTGTCCTTGAGGTCCTTGTGACAACCACAGTCTCCCCGACCCCCGCTCCAGCCGTACCTCCCAGCTTGCTGTCTCTATCTGTATCCATCTAGACCAGGCAGGAAATTAAAGTGGGCACCAGGACCTTGGCAATAAATAGCTCAGCCCTGAGGCTCCTGTCTGCAAAAAGGAATGTGATCTGGGACCTTTTTTCAAATCAGCCACATGTCAGGCACTGGGGCCACGGGGGAACTCAGACTACTTCTGTCTCCCCTCAGCGGGGAGGAGGTGGAGAAAGGGAAAGAGAGAAGAGATCTGTCCAGGAGCCCATGCCTTTGAAGAGCATGGGTGAACAGCTCCCCAATGGCCTTGAGTGAGGTTCCAGGCTTCTTTGAGGAGCCTCAGCTCCCTAATCTCTGAAGTAGGGACAGTGATGAGCCTGCCAAGTGGCTCTTGTTAAAATTAAATGAGTCAATCTGGGCATGGTGAAGCACCCCTTTAATACAGCACTTATTAAAGGGGAGGGGAGGTGAAGGCAGGCAGATCTCTACAAGTTCAAGGCTAGCCTGGTCTACACAGAAAAGTCCAGAAAAACCAGGGCTACATAGAGAGATCCTGTCTCAAAAAACAAAAAATAAGCTGGGCAATGGTGACACATGTCTTTAATCCCAGCACTTGGGAGGCAGAGGCAGATGGATCTCTGTGAGTTCAAGGCTAGCCTGGTCTACAGAGTGAGTTATAGGGCAGCCAGGGTTACACAGAGAAACCCTTACTCAAAAACAAACAAACAAACAAACAACATCCAAAATAAGAAAGCAAAAAAAAAATTTAAATAAATCAAATCCATCAGTGCCCTGGTCTTTCTTTACTAATTCCGGCTTTATTTTGCTTTTATATATTTTTTTCAGTTCCTTGGGGTAGAATGTATTTTATTTTATTTTATTTTATTTTATTTTATTTTTGAGACAGGCTCTCATTGTGTGGTCCTAACTAGCCTGAAACTTGCTTTGAACTGTCCAGACCAGCTTTGAACTCACAGAGATCCACCTGCCTCTGCCTCCTGAGTGTTGGGATTAAAGGCATTTGCCACCATGCCTGGACCAGAATATTGTCTATTTAAGATCTTCTTTCCCACGCCCTGTTTTGATGTAGACATGTCCAGCTGTAAATTTCCCTTCTGTTCATTGCTGAGCTTTTTGCATTAGCTAAGAGATGTAAGGATTCTGGGCATCCATCAGCCAACACACGGACAGAGAATGTTGTCACGAGGAGCAGTGGCACAAGCCTGCAATCCCGGAAATTGTGAGGTAAAGTCAAGGAGACTACAACTTCAAAGCCATCCTGGGCTACCTGGCAAGAGCCTGTGTACAATATCGAACAAACAATGTTGTGCAGATATACAACACAGCCTTTAAAAGGATGCTGTTGGTGATGTCCTGGGTGAGCCCGGAGGACATTACACGAAGGGAAACAAACAGGGCCTAGAAAGACAAGGACCACATGATCTCACTCTTAGGTGGACTCTAGAGCTGAATCATAAAATCGAAGAGTAGGAAGAGAGATGGTTACTATAGATGAGGTGGTAGGATGGCATGAAAGGGTATTTATCAAAGGCCACAAAGTGTAAGCTGGGCAAGAAGGACACAGTTCAGCACTGTGCTGCAAAGTGGCGACTGAACTAAAAATAATGCAGCATCCTCTTCAAATTTGCTGAAAGAGATTTTAAACATCCCAATCACAAAAGAGCAAAAAACAAGGTGACAGATTTGTTAATGAGCCTGATAAAATCATCACACATTGTATAAATATATCAAAACATCACATATACTATAAACATGATTATTTGTCAATTTAACATTAAAAACTTCAGGCTGGAGAGATGACTTAGCCATTAAAAGTGCTTACTATTGTTGCAGAGGATCCTGGGCTGATTCCTGGCACCCACATGGTGGTTCACAGCCCCTTGGAACTTCAGTTCCAGGGCATCTGACACCCTCTTGTAGATCTTGTATGCACACAGCGTACATACTGACAAGCAGGCAAACACATACATGTAAAAAAAAATAAACACATAAGAAAAAGATTACAGGAAGCACCGCTTGACAGTGGGCTGCTGTAACGGTAAGCTGCTTCTGAAGAAAGAGCAAGTGGGGAAGTAGCTTTCAATGGAGCAACATGACAAGGACCACTTCATGCCAGGGGCCTGAGGTTCCCACTCCTAAGTCATTTTAACAGCATGCACTTTATTGGGCGAATGCCCTAAGATCGCCTCCCTTCAACTCATCCCATTCGGGTTCTGAGAAAGTCAGGCAAATCCAAATTGAAGAATCTACTATTAAACAAACCAAACAAAAAGTCAAAGGCTGGAGAAATGGCTGAGCATTTAAGAGCACTTGTTCTTGCAGAGGGCCCAGGTTCAATTCCCAGCACATATATGGCAGTTAAAACTATCTGTAATGACAACCACCTGTAATTCTAGTTCCAGGGAATCTAATGCCATCTTCTGGCCTCCCTGAGTATTGCATGCATATGCTACCCATACATTCGAGCAGGAGTGTGCACACACAGACACACAGACACACAGACACACACACAGACAGACAGACACACACACACACACACACACACACACACACACACACACACAGCACAACCAGGTTTGCTGAAAACTGCCAAGGTCACTAGAAGCAAGGACAATCTGTACTGTAGTTGGAAGCTTAAATAGCCCCCAAAGCTTAAAGGTCCATGTGCATGGGAAGTGGAGGAACCTTAAGGGGAGGGGCACAGAGGGAGAAGATAGGTCACTGGGGATATGCCATATATATATATATGCCATATATATATATATATATATATATATATATATATATAGAGAGAGAGAGAGAGAGAGAGAGAGAGAGAGAGAGGGTGTGGGGTTAGGATTAGGTTGAGTCTCCCTCTCTCCCCTCCTTCCCTCTCCATCTTTCTCTTCTTCCTAGCCACGAGGGAGCAGCTCTGCTTCAATATATGTTCCCACCATGATGAACCACCCCATCATAGGCAGGGAGTCATGGAGCCAGGAGAGATGTGTTGGAACCTCTGAAACTGTGAGCCAAACACACCTTCCTCCTCATAAGTTGCTTAGCTCAGGTATCACAGCCACAGAAAGTAGACGTATACAGTCTGCGAAACTTTTACTGGAGGGCGGAAACTGACTGTTAGATGTAGTGTGGCAGCCTGGATGGACCACACTGGGAAGGAAGAGCAGACTCCTCGACAGCATGCATGAAAGTTGGTTCTTGCATGTGACAAAAGTCCTGCAGTGACATGTCAGCAGAGGGAAGTGGTCAAGGGCCATGTAGGAACTCCCCATGCTATCTTTGAATACTTCTGTAAGTCTAAAAACTTAAAACAGAAAAGTTTATTTTAAAATACACTTAACTTAGCCCAGTGCCTGGAATGTAGAAGGCACTCCCATGGGCTCACAGCTAGTGGACTCACAGATGTTCTTCTTGGCCTCTTAGGCGTACATCTACCTTAAAACACAGATGTGTTGGATCCTTTTCCGATTTCAGTGAAAGCATGGAGCAGGGAGCTAGCCTCATTATTAGAAAATAGTCTTTGCCAGCCCAGTAGCACAGGGATCTTGTTAAGCCCTAAGTCGGACCACCGCATCCCTCCTCTGCCCAGCACTCTCTATGGCTCCTGCCTTACACGGGACAGACGCCAAAGTGGCTTGAGGGGCTCTGTGAAGCACCAGGAGATGCAAGCACCTCCTCCCTGTTGTAGTGGCTGTCTGACACCTGCCTGCCTGTCTCTCTGTCCCTCATCAGCCTGGACACCCCAGCCCCACAGTCAAGCACCTTCTCAGAGTCCTATTCAACACCATGGCCTTCCCCAGTGTCCAGTGCTCTCCTTGTCACCGTTTCAGCTCCTACCTGTTGCCAGAAGTGGCTCTCACCAAGGTGAGTTTCCTTGTTCCTTGCTAATGCTTGGGTCTGGAATCTCCCAGAGGCTCATGCACTGAAGGCTTATTACCAAGGGTGGTGTGGTGGGGAAGTAGCTGAGCTTATAGGGAGGTCCTTAGTGGAGAGGGTGTGCCTTAAAGGGAACAGTGGGATCCTTGATCCCTAACATGCATGTGCACTCTCTTTTTCTTCCCTTCCCTTCCCCCTTCCCTCCCTGGCCACTTAGTTCCACCATCTGCTCCTGTAAAGCTGTGCTTCCTCACCATGGGCCTACAACAATGGAGCCAACCAAACGTGGACTCAAGTCTTTGCAGCCATGAGCCTGAATGACCTTTCCTCATTGTAAGTTGGTTCTTCACCATTCGTGACAGTGACAAGCTGGTGAACATGCCCTGCTGCTGGGGAGGGGTGGCAGCATGCCCTGACCAGCCCAGAAGGGGAGGCCTGCTTCCCAGCAGCCTGACCAGAATGGCGTAGGCATTTGCTTTGTCCATCTCTGTCTCCATCTGGTCTCTCTGCCACTCAGTGCTGCCATTTCTTAGCGCTGGCAGGCCCTGTTTCTTAGTCATGGGTCTCAGGTCTCCTCTTCCTCCCACCAGTGCTGTGGATCTCAAGTGATTCTTCCCAAGACAGGTACTAGAAAAAAGAAAAACATCTATGTAAGTCCAAAAATGCAGTCAGATTGCAACCTTCCTTGGAAATAGTGTCACTGTAGAGGTCATTAGTTAAAGTGAGGTCACCCTGGATTCCAGACGTCTCACATTGCCCGTGTCTTTACATGAAGACTCATGCAAAAACAGACACACAGGGAGGTGTGTTGACAGGAGTAAAGAGATGGCTGGCAGCCCAGGAAAGCCGAGGATTGTCACCCCATCAGCACTGGAGGGACCCAGTGACAGATCCCTTCTGCAGAAATAATTTGGGACAACAGGCTGAATTTTTTTTCCTTTCTCCAGTAGGGTGTGACTCCAAGCTGTGTGACCTCGGATACATACTTGCCTTCTCTGTGTTTCTGTTTGCTCCTTATAAGAACAATGAATGCTAGCACCTGCCCCGGAGGTTGCTGCAGAAATTACGTGGGGTAACACCACAGACAGTCTTGCCTGATCCTCAGGAAGGTCAGCAGCATTGTCATCCAGGGTCCCACTCTGCTTATCTTTATGCCTCCTGCCTCATCCCGTGCCCTTACTGAAAACCCAATTTTCTTCCACCCAACCTAATCTTTTTGCACACATTGGACTCAGTTCATTCATCCATTGCTGAGCAATTTCTTCTTAGAGGGCTCTGTGGGCTGGGCAAGTGAGGGGAGACACAGTTTTCCTTTGAGGAAACAGGGTATGTTAAAAAAAAATGTTATTCACATGCTAAAAGGCTTCCTGGACTCAATTAAGCCTGTAGACTTCACAGCTGATTAGAATCTCATATATAGCAGCCTTGGCAGCCCTGATTGTAGTGGGTGAGGCTGGCCCTTGGGCGCCCCCTTTCTGGAATCCCCCTGTAGGTCATTGAAAAGGAGCCTGGCTGCAGCTAAGCTCCTGGGGGAGATGACTGATGATTGTTTTGGAAGGTCTCCTTTCTCCACTTTGATTTAAAGCCAATAGGAGATTTCGTAGACAGTGCACATCCCATAGGGATGAGCAGGAAGAAGAGAATCTACCTGCCACCCGCTGCACACCCCTGGGGCCCAGCACGCGTGAGACACACTGTCAAGTATGCAGCGTCATCATACAGACTGTTGTCACCCACAGCTCTGAGTCTGCGAGGGATGTGCACACAGCTGTTTCTACGTGGTTGTAGCTTGACTATGAAATGTCCCTGTACACTCATGCATTTGAACACTTGGTCCCTGGCTCATGGTGTGTCTCAGATGTGGAGCCTCACTGGAGGCAGTGGATCACTGTGAAGAAATCTTTAAGGCATTATATTCTAATCTGGGATCTACTCCCTCTCCACTTTTTAACTTTCTGTTCCATGTAGACATTATTACTGGATTTAGGGTCACACCCTGTGCCCCAACAAGCCAGGTTCAACCACCCATCCTTGAAAAGCCAATTAAAAGAGCCAAATTAATAGTGAAAAAAAGAAATAGGAGAGACAGCAATACAGTGATCCCTCCCCCACTTAAGTGCGTCTTAGGAGTCTTAAGGCTCCTAAGTGTTAAGTAGAGGGCCCGGGTTGTGGGAGCCCGTTCTTGGGTTCCTCGTGGCTTTACCCAGCAGGTCCACATAGAGGATGATCAGGACCATGGGCCTGAGTGCAGGTGTTGGCTGTGCTGGGGGAGGAGGTCTTTTGCTCCACCCCTTGGCGTCTCTATAAAAACCCTGGGGCAGAGACAGTTTGGGCCCACTGGAAAAGGTTCCAGGCTCTCTTGAGGTTATCCTTTATTTTCTATTCGTTTATCTCCGCAAGATTCTCCGCAATAAATCCTTCTATCTAATATTTCCTGCTGCTCACACTCAAGAAAACTCTGGGGAGCTGTGGGGCTGGTGGGTAAACGCCCCACCCGGGGTTATGCATTGCTAAGCAGTCCTGATCAAGGTGTGGTCCTCCTATCGTTTTGGTTGCACTCTCTTGCAGGATAGCCTGCAAACCTTTTTTCCAGGAGAAAAGTTTCTGTTTTAGCTAGCCCAAGCTTTAAATATTTTCATTTTCTTCAATTTTTTTTTAAACTTTATGGGTGTTTCACCTGCATGTATGTCCACATACTACATGCATGCCTGGCGCCCACGGAGGTCAGAACACACCAGATTCTCTGGAACTGGGGTTACAGATGGTTGGGAGCTGCTACATGGGTGCTGGGAATCAAAGCCAGGTCCCCTGGAAGCACAGCCTGTCTTCTGCCAGCATGAGCTTCATGGGGGAAATGACAATATCTTGGGATCCATTGTTTCAATTGACAGCCATAGTGAGGGACAGTGTCTCTAGAATAGCTTCATTCCTTCCAGGCTGGTCAAAGTTCAAGGAGGTGAAGGGTCCCAAGGAAGTGAAGCTCGAATAGAGCTTGGAGTTGTGAAGTGGAGTGACCTCCCACCATACCTTCCCTTCTGTGATAGACTGTATCCCTTCAAACTACGAGCCAAGATAAGCCTTCCTCCCTTCAGTTGCGCTTATCGGGTATTTGTCATAACGAGAAAAATAATGACTACAGGGCCATTTTCATTTCATGGTGTCAAACCTCCCATGTGCCCAGTCAGGCAGGAGAACTGAAGTTCAGAGGGCGATGAGATGTACCCAGGCCCCTCTCACCAGGCTTAGTCCCTTTCTTCCTCTGTCTTCTGCAACCAACTTGGGTCCCTTTGAGAGACTCTGGTCCAAGGTCTGGCCTAGAAAATAGCACTCTGGACTGCTGCTGCATTGTTGGGACTCAATAGAGGAAAGCAACTCCAGCCAGACCCAGCTGCTGGGAAGGCATCAAATGGAAGAAGGAGCTTTTGGAAACAGGATGGACGAGAACTTTGTGGGCCTGCCAGGGCAGCATACATTTTGTATGATAGCTGGGAGAACAAAGGAGATTCAGTGGCTTATTTCTATTGCTCCCCCCCACCCAGGGATGGAACCCAGGCTCTTGTACATGCTAAGAAAGTGCTACAACACTGAACTACATCCCATCCTTTTCTAGTGATGTCTTTGTCTTGGGAGGTATTCCCATTAGTGGTGTGCCAATCTTAGTGAGAATTTAGAAGGTGTAAGCTTGCCTAGCCAACCAGGAGTTAACCAGAGATTCCCCACAGGTGGTCTACAAAGTAAGACTGTAATGGCTTACCATTACAGTCTTCTAGGGCAGGACTTCTTAAAAATTTTCCACTCACAACTCCTTTTATAAAAAAAAGATTTATTTATTTATTTATTTATTTATTTATTTATTTATTTATTTATTTATTTATTTATTATGTATACAGAAGAGGGCACCAGATCTCATTACAGATGGTTGTGAGCCACCATATGGTTGCTGGGAATTGAACTCAGGACCTCTGGAAGAGCAGTTAGTGCTCTTAACCTCTGAGCCATCTCTCCAGCCCTCACAACTCCTTTTTATCCAATATTTTTTTCATGACCCCAGGTATATAGGTATATAGAATAGGTGTACAAGTCATAGCGAAATTTATTTTAAGACAATTCTTTAGTACATGTATATTTTCACCATTTATTAAAGATGAAAACCAATTTGAATTTGCATCCTAATGAGGTGGATGTGTTTATTTATTTTTCATCCATCCATTCATCCATTCTTTCTTTCTTTTTCTTTTCTTTTTGTTGTTGTTGTTGTTTGAGACAGGGTGCCTGTCCTGGATCTCGCTCTGTAGATCAGGCTGGCCTCAAACTCACAGCCTGGCTCTGCCTCCCAAATGCTGGGATTAGAAGCATGTGCCACCACCACCTGGTGGATGTGTTTATTTTTAACATGAAGAATTAAATATTGGCTAAATATTTGATACTACAGGACACAGAGCATCTTTAGTGTTTTTCAGAGTAGATTGTTTTGACTTTATCATCATAAATGCTGAGAACACTGCTTTGCAGAGATACAGCAAAAACATGTTTAGGGCCATTTCAGAAATCGTTGGAAATTCTGTTATAATCTCAGGTCAAAATTCTTTTAATAAGTTAGCAGTTCAAACAGCAATTTCAAAAATAAAGTATTCTGGAGGCTGGTTGTGGTGGCACACAGCTTTAATCTCAGCACTAGGGAGAAAGAGGTAGGCAGGTATTTGTGAGTTCAAGGCCAGCCTAGTCTACAAAACATGTTCTAAGCCTGCCAGGAATACACTGAGACGCTGTCTCATAGACAGATGGCTGGACAGACGGACTGACAGACAGATAGGGAGATATTTAAAAATCGAATATTTTGTTGAGCATGGTGGCTCACACCTGTAATCCTAGCATTTAGGAAGCAGAGGCAGGCTTGTTGCAAATTTGAGGCCAGCCAAGTCTACATAACCAGCTGACTACGTAGTAAAACCGTGTCTCAAACAAACAAACAAAAAACAAAACACAACAACAACAACAAAAAAAACACCAAAGAAAACGCAAATAAACAGGCAGTTTTTTTTCCACAGCCCGTTTTCAAATAATATTTTTTTTCCAGTTTTACAAAATCCCCTTTGTTTTCACGAAGACACTTGCGTTTACTTAGCCCTCCTCAAGATGGCGCCATTCTTTTCCATCACTCGGGACCCTCCACTCAATGTGATCTCTGTTGCAATGAAAGCTATTTTCCGTCCGTCTCACGACGACGACAACACTAGCCATTCTCGCCTCACTTTCTGCACTCTTCAAGACGACCACAACGATCAACGTCAACCCTAGGGCACCCGGTGACCTTCTCAAAATGGCGACGAAGCGGGTCGGTACCTCATAGTGACGCTTTCAAGATGGCGCCGAGATCGTAAATCTGTGTCGCGAAACTACGCAAACTCGGCGTCGCTACGAAGACACTTCCGGTTCCTCCGCGGGGCGGGCTCATAAGGCCTGACAGAGACCTTTGGGCAGGCTAGGTCTTCGGACCGGGCGGCCTGGCGGGACCATGGACCGAAAGAAAAAGCCTTTGGACGTTACAGCCTCCTCGGTGAGTTCGAGTGTGGCTTAGCTACGTGCTCCGCGTTTCCCCCGCTCTTCTCAGTCAGAATGGCGACCCAACTGTTGCCTTACCCAGGTCAGGGGGCCTGGACTCTCCGTCTGATAGGGACTCTGGTCCCGCGGGGACCGTCGACAGCTTCCTTCTTCACAGGACCCTGAACCCGGCCTCGTCAGGCACCTGGACTAGGCTCGCCCCCGCAGACAGGCCCCGGAAGCCGTCCTCCCAGAGATCTCAGGGTGCATCCTGCGGGTCCGCAGCCACAGCCCAGCCGGGGATGTCCGCAGGGGACCTGGAGGAAGGACGTGTGCCCTCCCTGGCTTTTCCAGTCCAGAGATCAGCAAAGTCCTTCTAGAACATTGGGGTGTGATTCGATTCCCCGGGACTCACCCAGACAAGTTAGTTAGTGCCTTGTGGGATGGGCTGCCCGGGGCCGTATGGGATGACAGGATGTAAGGAGTTTTGTTAACCACTTTGAGCAGAAAACTTGTAAATACTGTACACATTTTTGTACCAAGGCTTCACAAGCATGCTGCCATTGCGTCCTCAGAAGTGCTTTAAGATGTAGATGCTATTAATGGTCTCTCTTCACGGATGATGAAGTTGACACCCAAAGTTGAATCCTGGTTTCCCCAGTTTACGTACTGGTTTGTCGGGTGAGAACCCAGGTTATTTAGTTTGATTGACTGCAAAAGGCTTGTTTTTCTATTACCTCAGAACAAATTGCCTAACTTTTGGCTAAATAAAATAAAGATTTATGGGGCTGGAAAGATGGCTCAGAGGTTAAGAACCCTGGCTGCTCTTCCAGAGGACCCTGGTTTATTTCCAGCACCCACATGGCAGTTCACACAGTCTGTAACTCCAGTTCCAGAGAATCTGACACTCTCATACAGATAAACACACACACACACACACACACACACACACACACACACACACACGCAAGCAAGCAAAACACCAATGCACATAAAAAAATAAAAGGAATCATAAAAAAGATTTATTTTGTGTATAACTGTTTTGCCTGTACCTTTGTATGTGCAACACACATGTGCCAGTGCCCTCAAAAGCCAGAAGAAGGCATTGGATCCCCTGAACTGGAGTTATATATGGATGGCTGTACACCACATGTGGGTTCTGGGAAGCTAACCGGATTGTTCTGCAAGAGCACTGAGTGCTCTTAACTGCTAACTAATCTCTTTAGCCCCTGAGCTCATTTTTATTTTCCTTGTCAGCCACCAGTGTCCGATTTACAAATGGCTGTACATATAACCACTTGCCATTATATAATTTCCCTACGTGTACTGTTAAGACCAATACAGCTGAGAAGTAGGTGCAAGTATTTGCCCAGCTGCCCCATTCTCCTCACCTGTGCTCCCCTATCCTATTTTCAAACCCTGTGATTCAGTTAAACTTAACCTTTTTAAAACAAACTAAGTGACCGGGCAGTGGTGGCGCTTGCCTTTAATCTCCTCGGCACTTGGTAGGCAGAGGTAGTGGATCTGTGTGAGTTTGAAGCCAGCCTGGTCTACAGAGTAAGTTCCAGGGCAGCCAGGACTACATAGAGAAACCCTGTCTCAAAAAAAAAAAAGCAAAAATAACAACAACCAAAACAAACAAACAAACAAACAAACAAAAAACCAAATAAGTAAAACTTGACCCTGTACTTCTGGTTATGTGTCCCACAAACAGAAAGTGCTTCAGAAATTAATTGGATCTGAACATGTAGATTTCATTTGTTTACTATGTCCTCCCCTTGGCAGAAAAAAGCCTTGAGTGATGAAAGTTGGAGTAGAACTCCATTTGTAGCAAAACTACAATGAAACCCAATGCTGTTTAATTTTGTATGGTGTTCTAGATTTAGACTTGTGTTTCTTGTCCATATTCAGAAAGCTGAAATCTTTGTTTACTTTCTTGTTTTATTCTAGTTGGTAGATCTTAAGGCTGAGCTCTTCCGAAAACAAGAAGAATTCAAACAAGAAAAACTTCTAAAAGATTCTGGAGTTCTTGGAAAACCAAAGACAACTAATAAGGTAAAAATATCTCTACTGATTCCAAACATGGAAGAATTGCATTATATTTTAAGTTTTTGAAAAGTGTCAGTGGTTATCTCTAAATAAGTAAATGTTAAAGAAAAAAAAATCCTTGACTTTTGCATAAACATTTACATAAATTTTGTTAACTATTAAAATTAGTAAGATTATTATACTCTGCTGTGGGATGGTCTGTATGTCAAATTGCTCTGATTGGTCAATAAATAAAACACTGATTGGCCAGTGGCCAGGCAGGAAGTATAGGCGGGACTAACAGAGAGGAGAATTGAGAGAACAGGAAGGCTGAGGAGGAGTCACTGCCTGGAGCCGCCACCATGACAAGCAAGATGTAAGGTACCAGTAAGCCAAGAGCCACGTGGCAAAGTATAGATTAATAGAAATGGGCTAAATATAAGAGTAAGAGCTAGATAATGATAGGCCAGAGCTAATTAATGGCCAAGCAGTTTAAATAATGTAAGAGTCTGTGTGTTTATTTTATAAGTGAGCTCCAGGACTGGCAGGACTTGGCAGAAGCTGGAGAGAAATTTCCAACTACAATATTCTTTAAAAAAGATTTACTTTACATATGTGTGTTGTGTGTGTGCTTGTATGTATACATATGTCCTGTGTGTGTATGCCCTGAGAGACCAGAAAAGGGTGTTGAATTCCCTGGAACTAGAGTTATATGTGGTTGTGAGCCAAGCAATGTGGGTGCTGGAAACTGAACTCAGGTCCTCTGCATGAGCAGTAAGCCCGCCCTCATAATGAATGCTAAGCCATCTCTCCAGTCCCCAAGTTCTTTTTTAACATGCTAGTAATAAGTGGATTGTTTATATTCTCATGAAAGATTAGCATGTATTTTGTGTCCAAACAGAGATAAACAATTGTAAAATGTAGAAATAGACATAGAATATGAAAGACTTTAAGAGTTTTAAATTTTTTATAGGTAGTAATCTATTTCTTTGTATTCTGCTCATATTCTTTAGAATATTGAATGATGCTGTAATCAGTCATGGATAAAGTCATTTGAGAAAGCAACTCTGTGAAGTTCAGAAAGAAATTCTTTAGGTGATTTAGGACTTTCTTCAGGTTCAGCTTTGTCATGTGCATGTCACACCTGTTTTAGGCTGTAAGTTAGCTGTCAGAATAAGTAGTTCTTTGATCATTCCTGAGATCTAAGGACTTTCTCTCCTTTTTGATGTGCACAAGTTGAGATTGCTTTGTGATCATGTGGTTTTATTTTGTTCTTTTTAATCATTCTCCAGAAGCCAAGTATCTGGACCAAGCAGAATGCTGGTGTTTCCAGTCGAGCAGAGAAGGATGCTGAACAGAAGCTTGAGGAGCAGAAGACTTTAGACAAAGCAAGGTATTACACCTGGAAGGGGAGTTACCAAACCAAGAAATAGACATCCAGATGTTACTCTTCCTGATGTACGGATCTCATAGACATCCTTCTAGCCAAATAACTCTGTAAATGTAAATACAGTGTCCCTTGATATCTGAGGGGCGTTGGTTGGTTCTAGGATCCTACTCTTCCTCAGATACCAAAGCTCAAGGATGCTCAAAATAGATAAAATAGTGTGTGGTCTGTGAAAACATTCAGGTCATTTCTAGATTACTTGCTATGCCTAATATGGTGTAAATGCTTTGTAAATAGTCGTTCTGTATTGTTTAGGGAATAATGCCAAGGAGGAAAAGCTGTACAGACAAATACACAGTATATATTAGCAACAATATAACATTGTTTTGGAATATTGTTTCTTTCCTTTAGTTGAGTCTGGAGATATGGACTCTAGCTATGAAGGGCCAGCTGTCTTCTAAAAATGCTATAATTTACACATATCTGTTGTCTTACAAAAAGAAAAAAAAATTTCAGTTTAGAAGATGAAATAGGGTCCTGTTTTATACTTTTAGCACACACTTAATATATCAACAAAAAAAATTTTTTTTTTAATTTGGAAAATAACTTTATTTGTTCTGGGAGTTGACCAGCATCCTCTCAAAACTTGTGGTTCTGCTTCTTGATGCTGGCAGCCTTGGTGACCTTGAGCACATTGAACTATACTGCCTTACTCGGGCCTGCACCCTCCCATGGTGCAGTGTCACTGGTCTGTACATTCCCGAAAAGGGGACAGGTGTACAGATATGTTCTTGTGATCCTTTTCAAAGCGATTGTACTTTTGGATATAGAGGATCTAGTTCTAGCAGATGACAGTGGTCCTCTGCACCTTCATCATGGTCACAGCACCAGACAGGATCTACTCTTGGATGGAGATGTTACCAGTGAAGAGGCATTTCTTGTCTGTTTGGGTGCCCTAGATGGCCTCTTTGAGCATCTTGATGCCTAGACTGATGTTCTTGTAGTAAGTACTAAGGGGGCCTTTCCTTGCCAGTAGACCCTGCTTCTTATTTTAAAAGACCATGGGCTGCTTTTGGTAAGCACACTCAGTCTGAATGTCTACCATCTTTCCAGCAGCCTGAGAAAAAGAAAAAGCTATAGCAACACTTTTTTTGTTGTTGCTTGTTTTTTCAAGACAGGGTTTCTCTGCATAGCCCTGCTTGTCCTGGAACTCGCTCTGTAAATCAGACTGGCCTTGAACTCAGAGATCTACCTGCTTCTCCCTGTTGAGTGCTGGGATTAAAGGCTTGAGCTGCCACCACCTGGCCTATATCAACAATATTTTAAAACTTGTATTTCTAGGGAAGGAATCCCATGGTTTTGTCCACTGAGCCACATCTTCAACTTAACACATTCTTAAGAAGTGCCCATGGACCCTACTCTCATACTGGGTTGCCTTGCGGAGCCTCAATACATAGGGAGGTTTCTAGTCTTACTGCAACTTGATATGCCATGTTTTGTTGATACTCATGAGAGACCTGCCCTTTCCTGAACAGAAACAGAAAAGGAGTGGATTGGGGGATGGGAACAGAGGAGGAGTAGGGGACAGAGACTAGGAGAAGAGGAGGGAGGGGAAACTGCAACCAGAATGTAAAGTAAGTTTTAAAAAATTATTTTTTTAAATAAAAGAAGTGTCCTGTAGTGTGTTCTAGACTAAATGGTAGGATATTATTATTTAGAGACCCCAAACTTTCCCCTTAAACCAAGAATATCATTAAAAGAAGAGTAAAAGGAACATTCTACTACCTGTCTCCTAAATTCATTAATTAGCATATTGTCATATTTGCTTTCCTCTGTCCTTTCCCCACAACTGTAGAGGAAGACTTTAAGTGTCATGATAATTTACCTGTGAATACTTTAGTATATATCTATCTGAACAAGGATATTATACTACAATATTTAATACTACTGTGTGGCTCATAGTTCAGATTTTTACCACTTGTCCCAGCACAACTATGTCCTAAATAGGTTTTGTCAAAATTCAGGATTCACAAAGTGAGTTCCAGGACAGCCAGGGCTGATATAACAGAGAAACCCTATCTTGAAAAGTTAGGGGGAAAAAAATCAGGATTCAAAGATTAAATTCCATTCATGCCTTTAGTTCTCAAATCTCTCCAATTCTTTTCCCTTTCATTGTCAGTTATCCTGCTGACATTTTAAAGTGTCCAGGTGAGTTTTTTTCTGCCATGTCTCATATCTGAATGAGGTTACATTAAAGTTTTTTGTTAAGAATACTGTGTAGTCTGTGTCTTACAGGGCATCTTATCCAGAGGCTCATAATTGTCAGTTTGAGTCATTATTGATAATGAGTTTGATCACTGGTTAGAAAAAGTCTGGTAGAGTTCTCTACTATGAAGATGCCCGTTCTCTTATGTGGTTAATAGTAACTTGGGATGGGAAACTTTGAGAGTAAGTATCTTGGTCATTGATATATTTCCATATGTGGTTTGTATTGTTGGTAAGCCTTGCTGCTGCTGATTTATTAGTGGTTTTCCTCTGTTTATTAGCTAGCATTCTTTTGTATAGAAAAGGCAGCAGCAGTCTTCTGTGCTTGGAGAATTCCAAGTTATAACATCTTCCGTAATAGCCATCTGCTTTTGTACACATAAGAACTCTGCAGATTCATTGGACTGAGAAGATGGCACAGTTGGTCAAGTGATTTCTGTACCAGCATGAGGACCTGAGTTAGAGGCATGTTGTAGATTTATAATCCCACTGCTGGGGAGCAGAGACAGCAGATCTTGGGGGCTCACTCTCCAGCTAGCTTAACTTCTTTAGGGTGCTCCAGGTCCCACTAAGAGACCCTGTCTCAAAAACAAGGTGGTTAACTCCTAAGGAATGACACCTGAGGTCAACCTCTGGCCTTTGCATGCATACTCATACATGGGCACCCAAAGGAACACACACACACACACACACACACACACACACACACACACACACACACACAACCGCCTTGCTAACTTACATAACAGTGAAGATGAGAAGACGACATTACTTTGTGTTATCAAGTTAATTTTTGTGACAACCCATAGAAGCAATAAAAAGAATTTGCTTTTCTATCAGTCTATAGGAACTAAGACCCAGAAAGGTTAAGTAACTTGTCATAATCATGTGACTTTGTAGTCTCTTTGTCCCATTAGGAGCTAAATTTCTTATTGTAATTAATGAGATCATGACACAGATAGCCTCTTTGGGGCTTTTCTTTTTAGGCAATTAGAGAATTTCTGGCCCTTTTAGCTTGTCACTACATACTAAATGCCACCAACATTTTGTGAGCAGAGAGGCTGCTTTGTTGACATGCCAAGGTTGTTGTCTTATATTAGTATGTGAGTATATTATTTGTGACATTTAAATAGATATTGTTATGTTTTTAACAAATATAAGTTGGTATAAAAAAGTGTAATAAGCCACAAATGACCAGGATTCTGGTCTAAAAACACTGGCAAAGGGGCTTGCCTTGAATCTGGTGATCCTTTTGGAAGATTTTAATAGAAAAAATGTTGTTTGGGTACATCTCTCTTTTCACATGTAACTTAAATTGCATTTAGCAGCTAGATTGTTGGAGCCTTAACTCAGTGCATCCCATTTATTCACTCATCAGATAGTTATTGAGCAGTTACTCTGTACCAGGTATGGCTTTAGGTCCTGCTTGCACTAGTGAAGTAGATGAAGTGGGTCTGAGGTCTCTTCAGGGCAGGGCAATCGGCACATGCTGTGCCCGTTTTTTCATGACTGGCTTCATGGGAGGTGGCAGCTGTCAGGCTGATAGGTTGGTGGCAGAAGGGACAGCTGTAAAACCATTTCTAATACTTGTCGGTTTTTCTCTAGGGAAAAATTGGAAGAAAAGGCCAGATTATATGAAAAGATGACTAAAGGAGATTTTCCAGGTAAACAAAAGTTTATTTATATTTCTTTATTGTCTATAATTTTATACATTTCCTCAGTATTATATTACTTCTATGAATGATTCTAAGAGGGAGAAATTAAAAAAATCAAGTCAAAACTTTCAGTGGCTACATAGAGACAAGAAAATATTCAGTAATATTCTGATGGTCCACTGGGTGCCAGGCAACTTGTTAGGTGCCAGGAAGGGACAGGAGAGTATAGGGAACCAGCTCTGCTGCCCTCACAGCAGATCTCATCTGGAGGAGGAGGCACAGCACCAGGAAACAGTTTAAATAGACCAGCCTTGCATGTAGGGACAGCCATGTGTATGGAAAAGGTAAGGTGTGTGGAATTATGGTCCCATGTAGGCACTTGGGGTTATACTGCCCCTTTTCCTGTTGTCTCTGTATTTCCAGTTTTATTTCTGTGATGGGCTTTTTTTTTTTAACTTCATGTTTTTCCTTTATTGCATTTTGTTTTTGTTTTTTGTTTTTCGAGACAGAGTTTATCTGTGTAGCTTTGCACCTTTCTTGGAACTCACTCTGTAGCCCAGGCTGGCCTTGAACCTACAGAGATCTGTCTGCCTCTGCCTCCTGAGTACTGGGATTAAAGGTGTGCACCACCATCGCCCGGCACTTTATTGCATTTTTATGCATGTGTATGTTTATGTGTATGATGTGTGTGGCTGTGTATGTTAGTATGTGTGAGTTTGGGCATGTTCATGCCACAGCATGGGTGTGTAGCATGTGTTGATCTTCACCTCCTGCCTTGTTTGAGACAGAATCTGAGGGGTCTATTCTACCTCCCATCTAGCTGCCATAGGAGCACTGGGATGTGTTGTATACTAGGCTTTATGTAAGTCTGGGGATTCGAACTCAGGTCTTAACATTTGGGTGGCAAGTACTTACCTACTAAGTCATCTTACATTTTTTTTTTCCGAGACAGGATTTCTCTGTGTAGATTTGGAGCCTGTCCTGGAACTCGCTCTGTAGACCAGGCTGGCCTTGAACTGAGAGATCCGCCTACCTCTGCCTCCCGAGAGCTGGGGTTAAAGGCGTGCACCAACACCACCCAGCATCATCTCACATTTTTAATTTTTAGTTCTCTTACATTTATCCAGTTGGGAAATTTCTCTATTTCTTCCCTTTCCTTGCCTCTTTCCTTTATCATACTAATTTATTATTTCTAGAGGAAAATGGGCTTTGACCTGATGAGCTGGAGAAAGGGTCCTGTAGGGGAGAGTGGTAAGAGCAGATCTTTAGGCAGGGAGGGCTGGAGCTCAATTCCACCTTGCCTAGCAAACAAGCCAGCAGTGGGTGTGGGCCATCCTTTACTTCTTCTCTGGCGGCATGGCTCTTCCGCACCTCCGGGGGTCCAGAGTCAGTCCTTCACAAAGTTGGGGCTGTGGTGACAGGGCTGGACTCCAGAAGAGGAACAAGGTAGTCATCTCCAGGATGCCTCACTGGTGTAGACATCTGCACCTCACCTCTCAGAGAACGTACTTCTTCCCTTTTGAGATGCTATGTGGCTTTGAAAACTTTTTATTGTATTCTTTTTTTCTTTGGTTCAAATTTTTATTGTTACTATAGAATCAGAGGCTGGAGAGATGCTGTGCTTACAGAGGGACAGAATTTGGTTCCTAGCCCCCATGTTGGGCAACTCACAACTGCCTATACCTCCAGCTCCGGAGACCTGATGTCTCTCTGGCTTCTGAGGGCACTCGCGCTCCCGTGCACTCCTCCCTCATGTGTGTGATTTAAAGTCAAATGGAAACACAGTGATTCAGTCAAAAGGAGTGTGCTTGTGGACACTGGGTTTGTCAAAGCTAGCAGGCCCACCTCCTGATGCTTGTAGAGTACCTGTGTGTCTGAACTGGTAAGTCTTGGAGTCTTAGTTGTCTCCAGTATGACACTGTAAAGGGGGACAGCACCACCGCTTTGGTAACAGGGGGCCCAGTGTCTGTTGTAGCTCATTCTCTGTCCTCAGGAAAAAAACATGTTGATTCCAGCCCTGTAGAGCCTGACCCCAGGCTGACAATGATGTTCACTTGTGAAAAAAACTCAGAGGACGTGTGTGCGCGTGTGCGTGTGTGCGCGTGTGCGCTATGTAGACCAGGCTGATCTTGATTCAGAGATCTACCTGCCTCTGCCTCCTAAGCACTGTGATTAAAGGTGTGAACACCATGCCTCAGCTTCAGAGGACATTCTTTACCTGTGTTAGGACTTTTCAAGCACTTCCTACTACACACCAGTGTAAGAGTTAAATGATGCAACTTAAGTGTTTAGAAAGGCCTGTTACACCAAAGCAAGAAAGGTCCACTATCTTGATTGGGAGAAATGCTGTTCTGCTTCTCTTATGTGTTGTTAGCTGTGAGTTGCTCAAAATCGTATGGCTGTGTTGTCTTAAATGGTCTTATTACTTACACAATGTGTTGATGACACAGCAGGAAACTCAAGGCTTTTAAAAGTGTATTGTGGTCTGTGTTTTAGATGACCTATTGAAAGCTTCCTATCAGGTGCTTTGGTGGCTGTGTCTTTGTAAATTGTCCCAGGTGAACAGTCAGGCAGTGAGGCCACTTCTTAGTTCCAGCTATAGTTTTTTTCTTTAATGTAAAGAATCTGTAAATTGATTTTTGTGCCCTAGATGAGGAAGTGGAGGAGATGTACCTTGTGGATTTCACACAGAAGATCATAGACAAGCGAAAAGAAATGGAGGTGCTCAGTGCCACTAGAGATTCTCAAAATGCAGAAGAGAGAGATGATGATGAAGAGTTTTCTGAAAAAGACATACCTCCTCCCCAAGACCCCAGCGAGGAATGGTGGGTAATATTGGGGATTAGATCAGAGTGATCCCCTCAGACTTGCATTTTTGAGAATCATTCTTCTTCATGGTTTTCACATCATTTTTCTTATTCTGTCTGGGTTTTCTGTCTCCCAAGAACCACACTCCTCTAAGTTGGGATAAGCTAGTATATCAGTTGTATAGATTTAAGTGCACCAGTGCAAAGGTAACATCAGTGACTGCAGGTAAGAACTGAGCATCTGCTGTGCCCAGTGTGGTGCCAGGCCCAAGGATCCTTGGGAAGGGCATCAATGTCCTGCTCCCCTATTACCATGCTACTGCTTTACCTGTGTGTCCTGATGTCAGGGCCTGGGAAGTGGTCCCTTTTGAGTCCTGCAAAAGAAACTGGCAGGGTAGGCACAGTAAGTTGTATTCTAACTAAATTGTTTTCTGGTATTGAGGTGTGGGTTCCAGTACTGCCTTCCTCCAGTGTGGACCTAATAAATTTGCAGTCTCTCTGAGGCCTAGCTTCCTTCCATGAAAAGTAGAGATGCAGTGCTTCAGTGCCACAACTATTTCTCTTAAATTCTCTCCTAGAAGCAAGTGTGTTCCATTCTGGGAGCATAAGCAGATACTTTGCAGAGCTCCATCATTGACATTTTCCTGAATTTTACCTGTATATACATAAAGGATGAAAGAACTCAGCCTTATACAGATCAGAGTGCAAATTCCATTACAGTGTCTTTTATGTCACTTAGACATTCATCGGCAGAGCTTGCCATTGCTTAGATATCACTGATGTCCTGACCATGTACTCTTGTTCTAGGGGATTTCTTAGAAGCTGCTTAGGTCTGTTCATGGATTTCTTAGCCTTTGTTATCACCTTTAGACAGGTATTGATGCATAAAGAGAGAAGATTTTGCTACTGTAGATGGCAGAGAACCTTTGTCTTCATAATATAGAAGGTGTCCACTGTGGTCCATGCTTTCTTACCTTTTAAATAACTTAAATCTAAAGTTAGAGACTCTTGTGAGGGTAGGCATGTGGCTGTATGCCACATGGAACCACAGAGAAGAACACAGCCTCTCTGTGCCTTTCTGTACCATTTGTAGTCTAAATATTTGTTTCCTCATCTGAACTATTTTTTGTGTCTTACCCTTTATTTATAGTTGATCCACTGTAGGCCTTATTACTGTCCTGGAGCTCTCTCTGTAGACCAGACTGGCCTTGAACGCACAGAGATCTGCCCCTGCCTCCCAAGTGGCTGGGACTAAAGGTGTGCACCATCACTGCCCGGATTGCTTGTTTTTATAATCTGCCTAAATTGTGTGTTCTGGCATACACCCCGCCTATACTCCTAGGCCCTGTAGAGCTAGGGTACTCAGCCCTCCTTGGATCACCCAGTTTTTCCAGGTTTGTGCTGGCTGGAACTGCTCAGTAAGCAGTTGCTGATGAGCTAGAGCCATTGCTGACTACTGTAAATCTTTGCTGGTGTTTCATGTGTTTTGGAAGCTTGCTCCAGAACAGAATAGCTGTGATTGCTTTTCAAGGCAGAACTCTCATCTCTTTTGAATGGTCTAATGTCTTAATTTTTTTTCTTATTAATGCCTGCATGATTACAAGCAATTTGTCAGCAATTTGAGGAGTTTGGAGGGCAATTGAAGGTGTTGCATGACACCATATGGTGCAGTAAGACGAACGGCAAGCAGTTCCCACACTTTTTTTGTTTTTGAATTAAGCTCCAGAATTGTGACTGTATATAAATCCTTTTGGTAATTAAATTCCAGGTGGTGGAAAATCTTTCTGTAAAAATACTGTAAATAATTACATGGACCATCTGGCTAGATGTCCCCCCCCCCCATTCATTTAAAAAAAAAAAAGGAGGAGGAGGAGGAGGAAAGAAAGGAAGAAAGAAAAGAAAAGGAAAAAAAGATGCTGTTTTATATAGTTATAGGTTTGGTTTCTTGTGACAGCCGTCTGTAGGACTATAGCAGTAGATTCCCAAGCGTTTGTTTTTTAAAACATGGGCTAACAAGGAAATTGGCATCCCTTGAGAGGAAAGAAATTGCAAGCAATAGCAGAGCTAGCTGAGTCTGACCTTCGGTTGCTTTGCTAACTTGCTTCACAGCCTTAATTGTGTGTCGTGGACTCTGCTCCTGACTATGGGGGATTCCTTGCCTGTGATAACAAATATGAAAAATCTATTGCACCATAGTGCAAAGGAGATATTTTCTGTGAAAACCTGCCCATACTTTGTGTTGTTAGGAAGTCCCAGTGTTTTGTTTAACCTTACTGGATGCCCAGCTTCCCCTGTCCCTACTGTCTGCTTTGGGCAAAGATGAAAAAAAGTATATAGTTTGTCTTCTTCTTAGAGTGGGTCCAAAAAATACCAAGACTTACATTAAGAAACTCCTAAGATTGCTGGAAAGAATGTGTCAATTAGTAGTAGAGCAGTAATAGAAAGTAAGACCTCAGTGCACTGTGTGGAGGGGAGTAATGAAAATCTAGGGTACATAGTCCAGTGGACAAATGCAGATACACCATTAGAGTTGTCTCAACTATATTCAAGTGAGTTCTTCCATGTCACAGCAATTTCTGTATTGGTAATTTGTCTTTGAAATCAGAGACATAAATGATCAATTCCTTCCTCCAGTTTCTAAAACTGGAGTTTTTGTGGAGGGCACAATCAGTTTATTGGATGTCATCTGCTAATTAAGAAGCTTTTTCTCTGTGTTAATGGTCCCTCAGCTTCTTGGTAACAAGGTCTGTAATGGCATTACTTCTTTAAGTGCCAACTCCCTGAAATAGGGATCTGCCCATTGTACTAACTGTCTCCTCAACTTCTCACTTTCAGGGTGGATTATGTGGACTCTTTGGGCCGATCCCGGCGATGCATGAGAAAGGATTTACCAGATCTATTGGAGATGGATAAAAATCTTCAGGGAAGACTGTAAGTGTGAAATGTGACCTTTGTTTGGAACGCAGCCACAGGGATTGTCTTAGAGAGGCTGCTCAATGACTATTTGTTGCTCTGTTAAGATCTTTAATGTGTAAGACTATACATTGAAGCCTTTAGCGGTTAATATGTCCATACGCTCATAACTTGTGCTCAGGAAACAACCTGAATGTCATTATCGTTTATTTATTGATTTTCTTTTTCTGAAACCCATTTTTTAGGGGAGTGGGGAGAATGAATCACATTATTCCCTGGGCTGGCCTTGAACTAGCTTTAAGTGATTCTTCTGACTTAGCTCCCCAGGCAGGCACTCTGTTCTGGTCATGTGCATTGTAACTGTTGAAAGGGACAAGTAGACTGTTGAGTGGAAGGATGTCTGATCTAGATTGCAAATATAGAATGAGCCCAAACCTAGCTAACAAACCAGTCTTTATGGACAGAGGGATTTGAGAAGGCTCACTTGCTTTTATTCACTTTCTATTTATATGTCTTTGTATATTGAAGCAAAGGCTTCATGACTACATTTCTAATGGGACCAAAGGAATAATATTCAAAAGTATCTTGGTGATTAAAATTCCATATAGTCAGCCTTTATTTGAGAAGTACTGGTGAAGCTCCACCTGTGTGAGCCCTCCCATCTTAGGCATCCTGTGGGTAGGCCTGGAGTAAGCACATAGAGGCCACAACACAAACCATGGCCACCTACTAGGACAGGAGGAACCCTAGCAATATCCATGTCTCCAGACAAGAGGCCATTCAGAGAAGTCCAGTGTTTTATCCTTCCTGGCTAGGCCACCTTCCATATGTCAACCAGGACAAGTGTAGAAAGGAAAGTCATTTATCTTGAACACTGAGGCAAGAACCTATCATACTCATGTGTAAGTCTAGTAATTGATTTAGAAATGATAAAATAGGGTCAGCAAGATGACTCATCAGGCTTAAGTACTTGCTGCTAATTCCTAATGACCTGAGTTCAATTCTGGGAACCCAAAATGGTAGAAGGAGAAAATAGACTCCTGAAAGTTAAAAGTTGTTTCCTTACCTCTACATGCATGCTGTGACATATGTACATGTGTGCATGAATGCCCCTGTGTATGTATACACACAATACATGAATGTTAAAAAAAAATTAAAACAGTTGTATTGACTTCTTAGTCAGAAACCTCTGTAGGAGCTGTTGTTGTTCCAAATGGTGTTACTTACCATGATCTAACCACTGTACTAAGTGTTAACTGTCTCATGGCACTCTCCTGAACATAGGTTTCTATTCCTCTACTAGTTTCGTCAGTCCTGCTAATGAAAAAACTTTATTATCTGAAGACATGAGGAAAGAACTTCAGCGCCAGCAATGGGAAGAAGAAGAAAGAGAGGCCCTGAAAAAACCAATGGGGCCCATTCATTATGAAGACATTCGGGAAAATGGTATTGTGGTTTTTGGGGGAAAAGGGGGGTTTTATTTGTGTGTGTGTGGTTTTTGTTTTGTTTTGTTTTTGTAGCTTTTAAAATCTTTTTTAAAAGTCTCTAGCCAATGGCAGGCACAAAGCCAGGTGCTGACAGAGCAGCAACTCTGACGTGGTGAGACGGCTTTAGGGGGTGAAACCATCCTCTTCGTCCATAGCCTAAGAAACTAACATGTCTGTTAGCCCAAGAATTCGTTCCCAGAGAGAAGAGAGACAGCCAGGGCCGAGTAGCCTGTCTATGTGTTTGTCACTTAGTAAACAATAAAGCTGTTTGACTTTTTTGTTTTTTATCTTTTTTTTTAATTGTGCAAATATCACTGTGTGTCTCTTTTGGTTTGTTGGGGAACTTGCTGTATTTGTGGTTTGCTAATCAGAGAAATCTAATCTTTTGATACTTTTGATTATTTCAGAGGCCCGGCAACTTGGTGTTGGGTATTTTGCCTTTGCTCGAGACAAAGAGTTGAGAAACAAGCAAATGAAAACTTTAGAGATGCTTCGTGAACAGGTAAAAGTTAAATTTAAAGTTTTTGTTATGGATTTGAATGATTTTTTTATTGATGGGCCATGCTTTAAAAACTGTAGTAAATCCAGAAACCCACTGCCAAACATTGGGCAGAGAGAGAGCCCAAATTGGAGCTCTCCATTAGGTTCCTCCCCTTGGAGCATGGGAAGCCCCTTGGAAGAGGGGGAGGAACAGTTAGGAAGAATGGGAACTAGAGAGGTCAAGGGCACCAGAACATGGCTCACAGAATCAACTAAGCAAGACTCATAGGGGCTCATAGAGACAGAAGCAACAATCACAGAGCCTGTGTGGGTCCAAACTATGTCCTCAGTGTATAGATTATGGTTGTTAGCTTGGTGTTTTTTTGTGGAATTCTTAAACAGTGAGAGTGGGGGGTGTCCCTGACTCTTTTGCCTGCTCTTGGGACCCTTTTCCTCTCACTGGGTTGCCTTGCCCAGCCCTGATATGAGGGTTTGTGCCTAGTCTTATCCATAAGAGGCCTGCTCTTTTTTGAAGGGAAACAGGAGGAGTGGATCTGGAGAAAAGGGAGTTGGGCTTGGGGCTGGGAAGAGTGGAAAGAGGGGAAACTGCAGTCAGGATGAAATTATATGAGAGAAGAATAAAAAGATGTAGTAAATAAAATGAAAATTGATATTCAGAATGCCATTGTTGGTTGCATACAGGTAACTATCAAATTATTGTGGGTTTTCAAACTCTAAAATTGTATCTGTTTTGGAAGTAACCTGTACTTTTGCTGGGTTTTGTTTTGTTCTTATTAGTAGTATATGTGTGTATAATGTGTGTATGTCATGGCATGTGTGGTGGCCAGAGGACAACTTTATGGAGTTGATTCCTGGAATTGAACTCGAGTTGCCAGGCTTGCGTCATTGCAGCGAGCATCTTTACTCACTGAGCCATCTTGCTAGCGCTGCTGTTGTATTTTATTATTCCTTTTATCATTATTTTGTGTGTAATCTTTTCCTGCATCTGTGTATGTGTATCATATGCATGCATGGTTCCTGCAGAGGACATTGGATCCCCAAGAACTGGAATTATGGATGGTTTTAAGCCACCATGTGGGTGCAGGCAACTGAACCTGGGTCCTCTGCAAGAGCAGCAAATATGCTTAACCACTGATTCCAGCCCTCAGCTCTGCTGTTTTAGATTTAGTTTCAAACATGGCATTTTTAGATGATCTGGGTGAGGAAATAGGAAGTTGTGTTAAGGGATTGAGGAATAGAAGAGAACTGGATTGTTTTCTTCCATGTGGAGGCTTCAGTAGTGCTCTGTGAGTTCTCACTAAGCTTCCTAAGTCATCAGAGGTCTGTGACATTCTTTTTCATAGGGCACTTGGGGAGAACTGCTTAGAGCTGCTGTAAAAATTAATTAGCACTTTTTAAAGAGAATTATTTCATTATTTTAAACAGAAATGTTGTGTATTTGACTTCGAGTAAATAATTTTCTGACTTTTTGTTCTGTCCAGACAACAGATCAAAGAATAAAACGAGAAAACATAAAAGAAAAGCGAAAGGCTATGTTAGAAGCAAGACTTGCCAAACTTCGACAAAAAAAAATGAAAAAATCAAAGGAAGATGGGACTGAAGAAGAAAACAGAGGTATAACAGGACTTAAGTTTCTGACTTGAACAGGGAAATCTTAGATCTATTGACTGTCACCAATAGGGTTGCAGTGTAGGAATCCGCAACTTAGTTTATCTCTAAATAGCATGTGCCTTTGAAGTACCACCAGGAGCAGTTTTTATTATTGCTGTTAGATACATCCATTTAGTTACTTATTATTATATGTGGCTTATGAGTCAGTGTGGATGAGTATCTGCCTAGCACAGGTATGGAGGTCAGAGGACAATTTTCAGTCATTTGTTTTTTGCTTTCTCTCTGAGATCCCTGGTTCAGATTCAGGTCATCAGAATGTTTCAGAATGACAGTCTCATGTTTTTAGGCAATAGACAAGGATATTAATAAATAACACATTGAGTTGCTTCTTATAATGACAGTTTAGTAAACCAAGACTTAAAAGTTTGGCTGTGTACATATATAAGAAATAAGGTTTTAAAATTTAAATTTAAAAATATATACAGAAACATAGAAACTACTCATATTTGGGGGGTGCCATGTGATGTTTTGATAACTGCATATATTATGTGATAAAAATCCAAGGTAAAGGTGTGACCAACTGCACAAAGTTGTCCTCTGACCTCTGCATGTGCTATGGCATTTACACCCACTCACATAGAGAAAGAAGTATTGTCAAACTACTTCACTCCTGTCTAGTAAGACATACTTGCTGCTCTTATTAGCACTAGTGATTAGTTTTACTTCAAAAGTAGTGTGTTAAATTTTTATTTACTTTTTTACTTTTTAATTTTTTTCCCCCCAAGACAGGGTTTCTTTGTGTAGCTATGCGCCTTTCCTGGAACTCACTCTGTAGCCCAGGCTGGCCTCAAACTCACAGAGATCCGCCTGCCTCTGCCTCCCAAGTCCTGGGATTAAAGGCATGTGCTACCACCACCCGGCTAAATTTTTATTTTTTATTTTTGGTTTTTCAAGACAGGGTTTCTCTGTATATTCTTAGCTGTCCTGGAACTCGCTCTATAGACCAGGCTAACCTCAAACTTGGGGATCTGCCTGCCTCTGCCTCTTGAGTGCTGGTATTAAAGGCGTGTACCACCACCTCCTGGTTTAGTATGTTAAATTTTTAAGCCATGATAATAAGGTCTTGTTTCCTTACAAAACCAGATGGAGATGTTACTGAGCTTTCGCCATCAGAACCAAAGGCTGTACCTGCTCCACCGCCTGTGGTCCAGAACAGCAAGGTAGAAGTCATCATCCAGGAGAGGAAGGATACCAAGCCTGGAGTGCCACACATCCGAGAGTGGGACCGAGGAAAAGGTAGGGAGGGTCTTTTAGGTGTGAAAACTTCCTAGCGAGGCCCTTGTAAAGGTGGTTTTTGTTTTAAAACAAAGTGAGATTCTGGTGAGATATTGTTTTTATTTTTTTATGGTGTAGAGATGGAATCCAGAGCCTTACACCATCAGCCCTATAGTAAGTCTTAGTGCTCCTGAGGCTTAAGGAAGTCTCTAGGACTCCAAACTTGTTTCTTCTCCATACTGGACACTAGTTTGTAAACAGGGAAATGGGGAAATGTGATTACAAAAGACCAGCATCTACAAAGACATCCTGTCCACAGAGTAAATTTCTAAAAAGGACTTGGGAAGTTTAAATCCATACTTTTAGGTGTGGTTTTACATTTTGGAATATAACTTTTCAGGAACTGCTTTTCAAGTGTGATGGAGGTTTGGTGTTCTGAAGTACTCTGTCTTTAGCCATCCTTTATGTTTGTGTGAAAGTTTACCTGAGCTTCACTGTGCATGCCTATCTTTCTGTAATTTTTCTCCAGGGTGCCCACCACCATTTTCCCTGCAGCAGACTTTGTTTATGCCTCTTTCAAAGATGCTCAGTGGAACTTTAGCTCCTGCTGTTGGAGCAGACAAGAGATATCTAAGAGCCACTGTTCAAAGTGGATGAGTCCCTTCTGTGTCCTCCAGAACTCAACAAATGACAGACTGCTTTGATGTGAAACACCTACCATGTCAACACCAACAAATAATTGTTTCATTTCTCTGTAATTGTAGTACCCTTTAGGCAGTGTGGTCCAGAGCCTGTCAGCCTCTCCACAGAACCTTCCTCTAATCTTTCCTTGTTGTAAAGCTACTCCATTTCTTAGCTGGGTTTCTTGTTGCTATCCTTGTTCTTAGAGAATCTGTGGTAGCTTTTAAATGCATATAAGAGCTGAAAAATAATTACAGTAAATTAAACTGGTTCATAGTTGTTTCTAATGACACTCTTTCTTATTTTCACTAGAATTTTCCTTTGGATACTGGTCGAAGAAGCAGTCAGAACTCCGGGCTGAGCGAGATCCTGAGTTTGCCCCACCATCGAATTACTTTGTGGGTCAAAAAAGAACTGGTCCTTTCAGTAGCCAGCCATGGAGCAGACTGGGATCAGCACAGAGTGACTTGGGGCATTGCTCTGGCCAGAGCCAAGAACCCAGCTCTTCACACACGTCCACTTCTGCCCCTGAAAACCCACCACAAGCATCCACAGTCACTTTCCAAACACTAGATGATATGATATCATATTATAAACAAGTCACATGACCTTGAAAAGCATGCTGGTTGCATTTGTGTCATCAGAAGTCAGGACAGGACTGAGTTTTACGTCTTTCTTCCTGTCCTTTCCCAAGGATGCACAGGCTTCAGGCCAGATTAGTTGGCAGGGAGGAGTGAGTGTACCCATGGGAGCTCATTGGCTACTTGCTGTTCATTTTTTATCGCTTGGTATAGAGGGAACTTATCTCCTCTCCTCCATGCTGACCTAGTTGTAACTCATTTCCAGGTGTGTGAATGGTAAATACTAATCTGAAATTTGATACTGAGGAACTTGTTTCTTTTTTAGATTACTTTATGTGTATTAATGTTTTGCCTTCATGTGTATATGTGCAACACGTGTGTGCCTGGTGCCCAAGGAGGTCAGAAGAAGGCGTTGGATACCCTAGACCTGGACTTATGGATAATTGTGAGCCACCATGTAGGTGCTGGAAACTGAACCCTGATCCTTTACAAGAGCAGCCAGTGCTCTTAATTACTGGTCCATCTCTCCATAGTGGATATAACCCTGCTGAGGAGCTTATAATCCTGCTTCACAAACACACTCACCCATAACTTCGCTTACAGAGCTCCATTCATGCTAGCATGCAGGTGTCTACTCCACAGATTCAATGTCCCAGACAGGTGATGGAGCAATATCAGGAGTTTTTACCTGTCCAATGGGCAAATAAGGGTCTATGATAGGAGGTAAAGTGGAAAAAGGAAGCTGGTAGAATACTAGCTAAGCAGTCACATCTGAAGCCATAAAGTCAGAAAGAGCACCTACAGTTCAGAGGTAAAAGTTGATTGTTGATCTGTGTCAACATGTTACCCAGTTACCTATATCCCTGTCTCTGCGGACATCTGGAGTTGTGCTAAATTACTTGCGCATTGTTGAAGGCCGCTGAACCTGGTTAGAAACCAGTGCTCCTTAGTTTTACCAATTAGAGCTTTGACCTTGTCTTTCTCTCCTGCCTTACTGCCTCCTAGTGCTTCCATTGCTTGAGGCTTCTTGACTCTGTAGCTTGAGTGGGTCAGACTTGGACCCCATTGTAGGTAGGTCCTTGCCTGTATCCTTATTGAATGGGGATGTTTGGCACACAGGAATCCAAAGGACATCACTCACTATGTAGGTGTGTTCAGAGGATTTGCCCATGCAACTGTAGACAGGCAGTCATGAGTTGGCCACCAAGCCTTTGGAAGCAGTGGGTCCTTTCCAACTCAAGGGAAGTCTCTGCAGTTCCCTGAAGGAATAGAAAGAGGAGTTGAGGGAAGACCTTACCTCTTTGAGGGTCTCTTGATGGCTTTGTGCTCACATAGCACTGCATTATGAGTTGCAGTGCCTGGTTCTTTCTGTGATGACCTACTAGAATATGGAATGGGTCAATACCTGACTCTAGGTCATGTGGCATCTAAGTGTCAGGTCCAGGACTTAAACAGCTTTTATCTAAGCTCTAGACTCATGCTTTTTCTAGTACCTTCTGTTCCCAGTCTTCTTTCCCAGTATCAAGAAAGTTTAGATAAGAAATTCCATTCTTCGAAAGTTACCTCTGAGATCCACTGTTGTTGGTTGTTTTTCACTCTTTTTTGGGGGGCCCACCAGCCAGCTCCCTAATAAATTCATACACGGATGAAGGCTTATTATTACTTATGAATGTCCAGCCTTAGCTTGACTTAGTTTCTAGCCAGCTTTCCTTATTTTAAATTATCCTGTCTACCTTTTGCCTCTGGGCTTTTCCTGTTCTCGTACTTCCATAAATCTTGCTCTTTCTCTGTGGCTTGCTGGTTGTATAGCTGGGTGGCTGGCCCCTGATGTCCTCCTTTTCTGACTCCTCGATCTTCCTCCCAGATTTCTCCCTCTATATATTCTCTCTGCCTGCCAGCCCCACCTATCCTTTCTCCTGCCTTGCTATTGGCCAGTTCTTTATTAGACCTTCAGGCACAATAACACAGCTTCATAGAGTTAAACAAATGCAATGTAAACAAAAGTAACACACCTTATAATAATATTCCCCACCACTCCACAGCAAAGGGAAAGCTAGACATAATGTCATCTGGTCAGTCTCCTCAGGCAGATATCTCTTAATATATATCAAAACTCTAACCTAGCTTCTCCCC